TTTTTTTTTTTTTTTTTTTTTTTTTTTGTGTGTGTGTGTGTGGGGGGGGGTATTGAATCATAAGGTGCTCAATAATTAGGCCACATCCCCAATCCTTTTTAAGACAGGTTCCAAGTTGCCCAGGACATATTTAAGTTGTTGAGGCTAGCCTTGAACTTGATCCTCCTGCCTCAGTCTCCCAAGCTGCTGGGACTACAGGTGTGTGCTACCACACCTGGCTGCTAATTTGTAAGCCTTTGGAAGCATGTAACATAACTGCCCTACCCACCTTGCTGGGTTTCAAGCCCTGCTTTTTTTGTGTGTGCCTCTGCTCAGGGCAAAGAAGCAAATATGAGCTACCAAGACAGACCAGCAGTCCTGCAAGCCTGGTGCTGCCAGCAGATTTGTTCAGGGAAGTGAAGGGGGAGGTTAACTCTGAAAGATCAGACAACCATAGCCAAGGTCAGAGGACAGAAACCATAGGTACTTTAAAATTTTAGTCTGCACTATGTGACCAGGCTATTTAAAAAAAGTTCCAGTTGCCTAATTCAGACACCACTGGAGGTTCAAGGCTATCTTCTGGCATAAATGAGGAACAGGATTCAAGACTAGGATTGTTTTCTGTCTGGTGGGAGCTCAAAATGGATTTTTTTTATTTGGTCATTTGCTGACAATCTGCCCAGTGTGATCAATAAAGCAGGACACTCCTGGACGCCATTCTTGTGGATTTAACCAAACCATTTCTCAACTATTCTTTTTGCGATCAAATAACTCTCTCCTTGCTCCAAGCATCTGCAGCTTCCAGAACAAGTGGACGACAGTTCCGAAGGGGCTCAGATATGTAGAATTGTGGCCAGGCTGCAATTTGGAAGGAGTGTCAAGAAAGATCAAAGTGCTGTAACCTTCTGCAGCCACAGCATGTTGCCGAAGAAGTCACTCTCCTTCATGCAGACTGGCTCTCTCTCCCTCTTGGGGTGAAAATCTGCTACTTGCCAGGCAGGAGCAGCAGCTGGAGTAGGGGTTCAACTGCTGTGGTGACTGGCTCTGGCTGTGGAAGGGGCACGCAGGGGGGCTCTCTACTGTCCCACATGCCCCCTACTCCCCAATACTAGACTGGCTCCTCCTCCAGGTCTCAGTTGGCATCACCTCAGAGGCCCTCCCTGAACACCCCATCATCCACTCATGGTTTTTCCACAGAAGGAATTGATCACAGTTGGCCACATTGCACATTCTTGCTTCTTATAGGTGGCCAGTCCCAGAGACTGACTCACCTGCCATCTTCATCCAAGTGGACCCTACCTGCCCCCCTGACTAGCCACACAGGTGCTTAATACATAGTGTTATGACTAAGCTACATCCCAGTCCTTATTATTTATTTTGACACAGTGTCTCAAGTTACTAAGATTGGCCTCCAACCTGTGATCCTCCCTCCTCAGCCTCCTGAGTTGCTGGGAATACAGCTATGTACCACAGTGCCCTCTGGTCTTCTCTGTATGTGGCTTGTTGCCCACAAGGGCCTCCCCCTGTTGGGTGCACTTCTCAGACTGGTGGTCTCAGGAGGGCTGAGCTTCCTACATGATAGTGGCTTCCAAGGGGCAGGAAGCACAGCCTGCCAGATGTGTTAGGTTCCCCTCCAGGGCCCAGTTCAGCAGCACTCCAGCATATTCATATTCTATTCCTCAAAGCAGGGCTGAGGATGTAGCTCATTGGCAAATTCCCCAGTCTCAATCCCTTATACCAAGCTCAATCCCATATAAATAAATAAATAATAATAAAGAGTGCTGGGTATGGTTGCATGTGCCTGTAATCCCAGTGACTGTGGAGGCCAAGACAGGAGGATCTCAAGATCAAGGCCAGCCCCAGCAATTAGCAAGGCCTTAAGCAACTTAGGGAGACCCTATCTCAATAAAAAATTAAAAGGTCTGGAGATGTGGCTCAGTGGTAGACAATCCCTGGGTTCAATCCCCATTACAAAAAAAGAAAAAAGAAAACTCAATGTCCTGCAGATGCCAGGGAACCACTGTGAAGCTTCCTGCCAGTCCCATCCAGAGCCCTTGGACTGGCTGTATCTCGCTGGGCACATGGTTTCCCTTGTGAACACCAGTGTCCATGAGGGAAAAGAAGCTAGCAGGACCAGCCTGACATGGAGATTTGAAAACTATGGAAAGTACTAGGCCTGTGCTAGGAGCACCGGGTCACCAGGTCACCGGGTCATCATCAGCATCACTCTCTTCATCCCCCATCCTCTTCAAGGATGGAAAGACCCCAGGGAACATCTGTAGTCACTTTCCTTGAAGAAGCCTAGGGTAATGGGTGACACAAGTGCAGAATCCAGGACCCTACCCCCACTCTATGTGGACTTCTAATACTGAGCCCAGGGACCCTGCTGCCTTGCAACCTAAGGATGGGGTGCTCTTGCAGGAATGAGAACTCATGGCTGATCACTAGTGGCTACACCCCTTGCCTGGGGAAACTCAGTCCACTTACTTCCAATGGTTAGAAATACCTAGAATCAGTCTGCACCACCTTGTGGGTAGGGAGGGGGAAGGGCTGAAGATGGAGCCCAGGCCTCATGCAGGCTAGGCATGTGCAGCACTGCTGCACTCCGCCTGCAGCCTGGAGCCATCATCTGCTAATCTTGGTTGTATTCTGATTCCTCTTCTGTGTCAATATATCTTTTTTTTTTTTTTTTCTTTTTTTAAAGTGCTAGGGCATGCATGTCTCTGCTGGACTCTGTGTGTGTGTGTATGTGTGTGTGTGTGTGTGTGTGTGTGTGTGTGTGTAGCACTAAGAATTATGTACCTAGGGCACTTTACTACTTAGCTACACCCCCCAAAACCTTTTATATTTTTATTTGAGACAGGGTCTGGCTACATCACCCAGGCTGGCTTGGAACCTCCAATCATCCTGCCTTAGCCTCCCAAGTTACTGGGATTGTAAGTGTGCACCTCGGTACCTGGCCATAGAGCATTTAAAACCCTCAAGAGATTACATTGCACCTGGGAGCAAGTGCCATAACTAAAAAGAGAATAATAGCCTCAGACTGCAAAATTCCTCTGGATGAATGTTATACCAATACCGAGA